CATTGTCCTCAAAACATCCATCTCCTCTCCTGCTATAGGGTGGCTTGGAGTGCATGCTCTCCAATTCCAATTATATTCCATGCTTTGTAGTAGTCTATGAAAGTTTCGTTTTTATCGTACTCAACTTCATATGGACATGGATTGATTCACGAGTGTTTGGTAAGTTGTAGATAGCCTGCTGATGTGTAGATCACTTCGTTTCTGAGCTTCATGCGATTTTGAAGATTCATTGATTTTAAAAGATAAAACCAGAGTTCTTTTTTCGTCTCGTGTTAAATTTTCCAATTAATGAAATCACTTATCTGTCACTTCTGAAGTGATACTGCCTCTATTGTTATATTAAAATATAATGGAGATATGGATGTACTTCATTATTATTTATTTATTTTAAAAAATGTATTTGGGATTCTTCAATAAATTTGTGAAAGTATAGTTTCGTCACACCCAAATTTATCTTCGTTTCCGAGATTTTTCGAATAGATAGTCCGGACAGATTCGATAGTAGCGGTACCATCTCAAAATTACAAACCGGACATTTATATATATATATATATATATATATATATATATATATATATATATATATATTATCGAATATTTGACAAACAATCGGATCGGATGAGATATAACAAAATGAAATAAGCCTCTTAAGATGCAAAACATGCAGCAGGAAGGAAATATTTCGTCATTCGACCAAAACGATACGTGTTTCAAAGGATGCACGTGTATTTATGCTAGGTCATAGTCATCAGTTACGAAAACAGGAAAATGCACACAGATAACTTATAATGTGGCCTCTATACTCTCCAGTAGTTTTCCTAGGAACATCCTAATAGTTTACTTACAAGGACACCTCTGGCCGGCGGAATACCAATGTTTGATCCATGCAAAGAAAAGAAGTACGAAGCCATCAACTATTCGGAGGTCATTCCTAGGGCTCAAATAGTTTATATGAAACAATAATTAGATTTCTGTTCGTTTATTTAGAAATGAAAATAAGTAACTATCGAGGCGATCAAAAAGAATGGAAGAGTACATCAGATAATCGAGATTGATATCGAAATTGGTCCATAGAGCTTGTAAACTATTATAATCAGAATTACAGTCCTCATCAATAAAATAAAACAAAATGTCAACATAATAAGATAATATAATAACAAAACGGCCTATTCCTGATGCTCATTTGCAAAACTAATTACCGTTAAATAGCTCAACCGAAGATATGGCGAACTATATAGTACCGAGCAAAATGACAACTATCTACTGACAAAAAAATAAAATAAAATAAATAAAATATACCACTAAAACCCATGAAGTTCAGTACTGTTTAAAGGCTTACATTTGTGCAGTGATAGGATCGGTCCAGGATCACGCTCAACCGCCAGGTTTTCACCCTTAATCAATTATTTAATTAAGAGTACCCACTTTATAGAGGCTGGGTGTGCTCCAGGAGGGTCTCTTTACCCCAGGGTCGCCTGATATAATAATAAATTTGTTCTGCTATGAGCCGGAATTTAGGACCGGACGCTTGGTGCCCGACCAATGAGCTACCCCGCTCCCTAATAATTTACAAAACTATCCAGAAACCTACATGTATCAACGGAATAGAACTCTAAAGAACACCAAACATTTTTAAAATCAAACGCATCCAATCCTTTCAGTCCTTCAAACAATAGTCGATGCTCCGTTCTACATAACGAACAAAACCCTACACCATGACTTCAACATTCCATTTGTACTAGACCTTGTCCTAGAATTTTTTTTTCAAAATTTCACCAGAACCTTATATAACCAAACCACCTTACACAATCCCTATCTAGCTGCACTCATCCCTACCCTACAATTTTTCAAGGTTGGAGCGGCAATGGCTCCTAGAACTTATGTAAATTAGTATATATTGGAATTCGGGCAATTGCCAGGTTCTCCACTCACGCCATGCAAGTATGTGATTATAGCGCTGGGATCTTCTAGAAAATCCTGCTTTTCCTTCCACGAGTTTGTGCGATGACTTGGTTTGGAGTTTTCCTGAGTCAATGTATTTTGTAAATATTGTATAAAAGTACGCCTGTCTTTAAGTTGTTGTTATGATTAGTTTAAGTTTATTTTTGTTTATGTATATATATTTTTAATATTATAATTTTGCTTTGGTTCTATTTAATTAATTTTTATTTATTGTACATACGGTATGGATGAACTCCTGTATCACTAATGTACTAATGTACTTAGTTGGGACAGATATGTAATTATTCAATAAAGAAATGTTAAGTAAAAAAAAAAAAAAAAAATAGAATCAGCACTTAGCTCGAAAAATAGTATATTTTGTACTTATAAGCTACTATTAGTGTTTTAAGCTTTAAAACGCCCATTCAAGAAATACCTTTCCGTTTTGCCTCTGAGTAGAGAAATATTTAGTTTAAAAAGTAATTTATTAGCTTTTATAAATATGCAAAATAAACTAGAAGCTGAGAGAAGTTGAGCAGTATCGTGCTGACAGCAGTCACACCAACGGTTGACTCTAGCTCCTCCTCCAGTCCCCACCATAACTATGAAAGATACTTTTATTTCAACATTTAAGCTAAACAAGAACCTTTTTTTATAATGCAATTAATTGAATAATGCAATCAATATGTTATGTACGTTATGTATCGCTTGAGTTCTATAGTGACTCAAATATACATGTTTTTTTTTTTTCAGGTATTTACTAAGTACCAATGGAAACCAAAATGAGTAACTACAATCGCAATTTAAAGTGGTAATTACGTAAAATTAGTGATCGAAATAATTTTTTTTTAACATTTGGGAATCCTTCTACATACGTTAATTTAGAGATTCATCGACACCAATTTTATGAAATGTCATTCACTGCTATTCCTCATGAATGTACAATCGTATTTTTATCAAAGTTTATATATATATATATATATATACACATAAATATTTTCAGATAGTGCCAAGTCTATCCTTGCCCCAGTTTCAAGATGGGCGCAAACAGCCAAGATGAAGGAAAGTTTATGATCGAGGCGAATTAAGAGCTTTGCGTCAGTTATAAACGGAGCTAAATTTTGATTAAGATTCGTGGATATTTCTCTGCAATATGGTAAATAACCTTATATTCATTTCTGACATCACCTAATATTTAATGGCTATTTACAACGAAATAATAAATTACTCGTCAAATAATTAGACATTCATTTAAATAATGTTACACTTATGAGTTTCAATTAATATAATTGTTGATATATTTCAATAATTATATCTTAATCTTTATATATTGGTATTTTAAATCATTTTTATGCTATTTTGTTATTACTAAAATTATGGTATAAACGAAATTACACCCCTTGCAGTTAATATATGTTAAAATAAAATGTCTGCCTCGAAATTGGTATATAAAACGGATAAAATCGCGCATAAACAATATGATTCTCAAAGTAGATATACGGGTCTGGGACTTATTGTTGAATGTTAAACATATACTACTATTTTTAATATCTATTTTAACATTTATTTTTGATATTAGAAGATTTCAATTTCAAACAACCGATTAGCTATAAAAATATCCAAAATATTACTATTATACCAATAGATTAACGAAAAATTAACATTACTGCGTTTTGGTCCTTAATTCGATTTTGTTTTTTAACACAGAAGTTCGATTTTTTACTAAACATACTTGAACAATGAGATTGAATGATAGTTTTGCTGAAAATATTAATTCCTGATCCCATTCAAAACCACCAGTATATCATTTATATTATATTTATAGTAATATATGTGATATTATAATAAGCAATAATAAAAGGGCTGGTCACGCATCGTTTCAATTTATCCTAACAAATATAATTTAAACATAATTAATTCTAAAAGTTTGTATTAGTTAAATTTAATACAGACATATTTAAACAATATCATCCTCATAAACGAATTCACAACGTAAATTAGAAATAACCTATTCAGTTGTAACAACACGTTCTTTATACAAAAATACTAACAACATACACACCCAAAATTTTACATACATAAGACATATTGAAATGTAAATCAACAATCAAGATGGTGCCTCTAACCTATAAAGTTGCACACGGCACCTAAAATATAACCAAATAAATAAATATACAGAGATAAATATTAATTTGCGAATCGTGGGTTGAAACTCGAAAATTGAACTTGCACCTGTGAAAATTCCAAACTTTCAAATGCTTTTTTTCATAAACATGATTTTAGCACTTTTTTATCACACTATGCACAGGTTCCACAAATATCATACTATTACGTCGATTCTATTAAACACGTCTTTCTGACAATTTAATGAAATAAAACGTTTTTCCAAAATTTTACAGTTACGTCATTGTAATGGATTTAAGACATCGCGTCAAATTTCAAAATGTTAATTTTTCTTTCTTTCTTGGTCTTTTATATTGGAATTTAATATATAGGTACTTTACATAACATCCAGAAACATTTTTCAATTCTTGATTTCATTTTTTAACTGAATGATCAAACACTTTTTTTAATTTTAATTATATGAGTATGATTGTATTTTTATGTTTTTAATTTATTTAGATTTAGATTTTTTTATTGTATATAGTTTTTATTTATTATTATTTAGTTATTGTTTTACTTTGTTAATTTCATTTTATTTTTTGTATATACGGTGTGAATGTGCTCATTTATCAATATAATTATTGTCCCTGTGACAGAATATTGTATGTCTAAATAAACAAATAAAAAAAAAAAATTATATGAGTACAACTCCATTTAGTTAATAAATGAACTAGAAGAAAATATCTTGCGGATATGAATATTACAAAAAAAATTAAAGTACTTCCACAAATTATCTTATTTATTGTTTATAATAGTCCTACAAATTATTATTAAGTATTTGCGTTGATATTCAAGCCACTAAATTATTTAAATTAAAAAAAGTAATATAAATACAATTTTTTTTTTTACTGACCCTAATTACTTCTAAAAATACGAAGAACAGATGGACACGAAATTCAAAGATTAGATAGGATCAGAGGCAATAAGGACCCATTGCTATAGGCGTGCAAGAGAGTGGAAGAATGGTAAGGGTTGGTTGGATCAATGGAAACCAACCGCCTGGAACAGACTGGGCCACCATATGGTACCATCTTAGTAATCGAACCTCCGCCACTCGATGTTATCTATTGCAATAATAAATATTAAAATTTTTTGAATTCGAAAAGTGAATTTCATTGCTGCTACCATATATAGTGGTATTTTGAGGTATGGATAAATGAATTTCTTTTTATATTATCCCTACATTATAACTTTAAATGCGCATATATTCTCTTAGACGGAAGACTAAAATAGAACCCACACACAAGACTTAAAAGACAAGAAATCAACCGACGATATAGCTTTACAGACTAGTAAAGATGAAATCTCAACTTTCAATTGACAACAAATTACTGATCTACAAGACAATACTAAAACCTATATGAACCAATACACTACTGTGGAAAACAAAAAAAAATTCTAACATCAAACACATTCAATCTTTTCATTCCAAAGTCCTCCGAACAATAGTCGATGCTCCGTTCTATATAACCTAGAAAAACCTACACCACGCCTTTAATATCCCATTTGTCCTAGACCTTATCACAAAAAAATTTTCCTGATCCCATCAAAATCTTACGTATCATCTAAATCCACTTGCACGATCCCTATCCAGTTTCACCTATCCCTACGATCCTCCTCGAAGGTTGAAGCGGCAGTGGCTCAGAGACCTTTCGAAATAACCATATATTGGAGTTTTGGCAATGGCCAGATCCTCCACTCAAGCCTAGTATGTGTGATTACAGCGCCTCTCCTAGAGTCCTGCCTTTCCTTCCATGAGTGGGGGGAAAGACTCGGCTCGGAGCTATCCTGAGTGAATGGATTCTGTAAATATTGTATAGTATGCATGTGTTTTAGGTGTTTAATTTAATTAGTTTTGTAACCAAGATTAAGGAAGCATTGAAAAAAAAAAAAAAAACTCTTCTCTCTTTTGTTTCCAGTGATTAATTATTAATTCCTACTTTAGAATGTACATGTGCTCTTATATCTTATATCTTGACTTTCACTTCTTGATGTTTATATGTGGCATGCCATTCTATTGTATATAGAATAAGTTGTTTTGTTTTTTTTGTATTTTTATTATCTTCCTATTTATCTTTAATTGTATATAGTAATTATGTATAAATTCTCTCTATTTCCTTTTATTTTATTTCTTTTGCTTGTACATTGTATTAATTCTGTAAATATTTCTTTCTGTAAATAGATCTGTTAACCTTTTTTTGCTGCTTTATAAAAATATCCAATCTAACCCCTTCTCACCTGAGCTAGCATGGTAGAATAAATATTTAATCATGGCCAAATAATGGATAAGTACCTTATATCTTCTAGATTAATCTCTTTAGAGATGAAAGGCTGGCCAGCCAGGCGCCCAACAAATAAAAATTCCGATAGAAAATTATATTTACTAAAACTCATTATATTATCTTTTTATTTATCATTGTTTATATACATTTACTTTTAGTATTATTTATTGTAAATATAGTGTGAATGTGCTCTTTATAACACTATTATAAACGTCCTTATTTGTGACAGATTGAAATATTTCTGAATAAATAAATGAAATAGCAGCAATGCAGCTGAGTGAAAAGCGGTGGGATCTCCTAGAGTCCTGCCTTTCCTTCCACAGATAAGGAGAAAGGCTTGGCTAGGAGTTTCCCTGAGTGAATATAATTCGTAAATATTGCATAAAAGCGTGTTTATATTTAAGTTGTTATTTTGATTAGTTTAAGTTTATTTTTATTCATATTTATTTCTGTTTAGTATTATAATTATAACCTTCCTTAAAAAAAAAAAAAAAAAAAAAAAAAAAAAAAAAAAAAAAAAAAAAAAACCAGCTCAAAAAGAGTAATAAGGATATCAATAGAAAAATTTAAACCATAAAGCCTGGAGTCTATGTTATACAGGTGAATAGTAAACATGTCAACGTTTCGTCAATTCAGCATCTCATCAAAATAGGAAAAAAAAACAAAAAAAAACGACCATATATATGCAGGAAAAAAACATTTTTTTTCTTTACAAATGACATTTTAACAAGCATTCTAAAAAGATTCTGAAGCGACCCAAACGTAGCAGTTAGTGTTGCCCAAATTCTTGATCTTGCACTTTGCAAGACAAGAGCAAGACCGCCTAACTATTGCAAGACTAAGAACAAGACTGGCTTAAAAAAGCAATTTTTTGAATACAAATTAAAGCAGAATAGTTATTAATACTTGACAATTTTAGTTACTATATGTAAAGAATTGGTATAACCAATATACTTTTCCATTTAACTCTTCTAATTTTTCATTCGAGCTTAGTTAGGTTTCTCCTATCTAAAACAATTACAGCAATATCTCTATATTAATAAACTAATAGACAACTGCAAAGACCGTTGCGAGACTCTTGCGCAAGACCAAGACTGAGTTTGCAAGAGTAAGACCCATCTCGGTTTCGCATTTGGGCAACACTAGTCGCAGTAGTAGAGGAAGGCCATATTAAACAGCTGATTATTAAAATTATATAGAACTAAAAGTATATAGATATAAATAAACCTTTATTATATAATAAACTATATGTAAGATTTATAAATAAGCCAACAAGAGAGAAGCCATTGTTAGAAGACACCGATGATGCCTAAATAGGAAGACGGGAGGAGAGAGGTTCCGCAAGTGGTACAGCCCCTAACCGGTTCCGCCGTGTCACCGCATTCCTCTGACCGCCGCGGCACCTGCCCGCGATTCGGGCGTGTCCTCCACGGTACCCTCATCATCATCAACCCACCCCCAGCTCCTAGTTTCCTCATAGGCCGCCTGGTATACGGTGGACTGTCTGCTCGGCTTCAGGTCAGATAGAATTGACTAATTAACCGTTTCGAGTCCCCAGTCGCTACCACGTCTCCAGTTGCCATGCCGGGTTGAATTCATAGGAGCAGACTACGGTGGAGGAGAGGGAAGGAGCGAGATTAAAGTTTCGACTCTTTCACCCACTAATTTAAAATTTAAAAAAATCAAGTTGATAACAAGATACATGAATGAATAAAATATTTTATCACGACCTAAATATTAATATTTTTCAAAGGAGATGGTCCGGGGTGGCGGTCATAAATAGGCTAAATAGTGGCAAAACTATTTTATTAAAAGCCAACGTTTCGACCCGACTTTGCAGGTCTTCATCAGGGAGGTGTGTTCAGGTAGGAGTTTCACTTAAAACTTAAAACAGAAAACTGAACTCAGTTTTTAGTGAAACTCCTACCTGAACACACCTCCCTGAAGAAAACCTGCAAAGTCGGGTCGAAACGTTGGCTTTTAATAAAATAGTTTTGCCACTATTTAGCCTATTTATGACCACCACCCCGGATCATCTCCTTTCTTTATAATGTAACAGTCAACTATTAAATAATAATAATAATAAAAGGCTTAGCGAACCCGAAGGTTCGATGCCGACACCACCAATCGCTTATTACACACCTCCCTGCACCGTTCGCCGTCCAAACCCAGTCCCTTCAGATCGGCCTTAATGCAATCTTCCCACCTACGGTTCGGTTTACCCCACGGACGTTACCATTCAGTACAGCAAATATGAACCTTTTAGGAATTCTCTCGTTACTAAGCCCAATAATTTTACAGGCCCATTTTATTCGCCAGAATGAAATCACCTCAATTATATTAGATATATATAGTTCCAGCAATCCGGCGTAAACTATTAAATATTTAATATTATTTAAATTTTCATTTATATACAGGAATGATTACATAAAAACATTTCCTAGGATTTTATGATTTCTTCACCTCTCATGTGTACACCTCTATTTCCACGTGATTTACTAATAAATTTTCTACGTAAAGTTAGAAAACAAATGCCCCCCTTCCTACCATGTTTAATATATACAAATTAAAACTGTAATTGTAATAAATCCAATTTTTTTGTTAAGATATTTTCAAGTATATCACTAAGCACTTAAAAAAATGTTCTGCAACTTCCAGACAAATATATATAAATTTATTTTTAAGCATTCAATATTATATTTGCTCGTTTCACAATAATTGTGCTGAATTATTACACATAATAAGAACAGCTGATTTTAATTTTTTTTTTTTGTTCTTCGCCTTAGCCTCCAATCGAAATGGATACTCTGCGCCAATGGTTGAAATGGCTCTATCTAGTTTTCCGACAGCAATATTTCCTAGGTGTACTTTCTTAATTTGTTTAATCCTTGATCCTCTGTCCATAGGCGCAGACTATGGGGGGGGGGTGATACCTTCTCCCCCCCAATGTTTCGAAGAACAAAAATAAAATCATAATCAAAATCAATAAATCTATATGAATGAAATATATAAACTAAAATCAATTATGGAAATAGGGAAAATCGACTAGATAGCTAAGTTAAGGCTTAGAAGTAGGTACGTAAGTACTTTACCACGCGCTATATTCCTGTTATGGAAATGTAAGTTGTATTATAAGTAGCATCATATCCTAAGATTTTATAATTCATTCGTGTGTACACTTCTTTTGTCACCCTTCCCCCCCTTAACATTTTTACCATAAGCGTGCTGCAGCCCTATTCGACCTACCTAGGTTCTGTTGTGATTTCTTCAAACAGCTGATTCCTGTTGACATATTTTCAAAAATATTCGGCGGATGATACAATGTTATTCTAGAGGTGATGGCAGATTGCCCGCGGTTTCTATAGCGGAAGCTGTTCACTCCACATATTGTCGTATTTATAGTTTTTAGAACAGTCATCCGTTCTCTTTTCGACCGCCTTTTTATATGAATTAGTTTAGCTTTATCAGGCTTCGATGAAATTATTAATTATTTCATATTATAAACTTCATTTTCTTCTTAATAGTTTTAATTTCACGTTACGTTTGGAAGCCGAAGATACGATAGAGCCATTTTCAATAATGAACCATTGTAAAAGAACAAAAAATTAAAAAACTTAACTCCCTTTTAAAATTTGAGGTCTTTATATACGTTTCAGGATACGTATTTTAAAAACGAATAAAAAATGTTTTGTTCCCGCATTTCCTCCGAAACTACTGAACCGTTTTTTTTTTTTTTTTAAGTTTGGATTTAAAATTAGAGGTCACTCGAGGATGACCCTCCTTCATCGACATTTCTATCCACCTTTTCCTTTCAAGATGGCGAAACGAATGTGCCGATTTCAATGAAACTTGGCTTCTCGATGTCCTTTAAATTTATCTATGCAACATACTTCAACGAAAAGAAGCTGGTAAAAAAGCTACGAGGATGATAAAATAAGATTCCCATTAATTCAAAAAGTACATACTTTCTTTGTGTATTTTTTTGGTTTTTAAAAGTTTACGATATTTCCTAAAAAACGGAAATACAACTTTTGAGATCCTCTCAGTCCAAATAACCAAGTGTTCAGGGATCAACACAAAACAACAGGAGGAAGAACTAGTGATGAAATGATTTTGAGTTGAAGAATAAAATGTAGGGTGTCATGGAAGATTTAAATCGTTATGTATAGTGTTATTTAAAATATACCGAGGTACATTCATAATTTTTACTGTGTCTATTTGTAGTATAAATCGGTTTCAATATAGTACTATATATCAGTTGCTTGTTCCATAATTTAAGTGTGGATCTGTGGTCCAGAAGATGTGAGAGTTGGTTATATCGTCTAGTCGGTTCTTGTCTTTTTCGTATGTATTAATATCGTATGTATGTTCCAGTTAAGTTTCTCTAGATGGAGACCGAGGTACCGTACATAGTTTTTTGAAGGCACTGGATTATTGTCAATGATTATGGGTAGACATGAGGTTTTTCTAAGAGAGAAACTTAGGAGGGTGGATTTGTTAACATTTATTTTAATTTAATATTTTTTCGAATAAATTTTCTTATGCCAGGAATGTTACAACAATTTTTCGCTAAAATCGGCTAACCTGAAGTGATATTTTTTATAATTGATTTTAATCATTATAACCATTTTCTCGAAAATTGCTCCAACAAATTTAATTAAATTCAGTGTAAAATTAAGTTGTTTGGATATTGATAGTAGGCAGGTATATTCAAAATTTCTTCCTCTAAAGTACTTTTGATTCTGTTTATATCTATATATACATACGTATAGAGAGGTGCATAGACAGACATACAGAGAGACGGAGACGGAACAGCTACAGAGAGAGAGATACATATATGGGCCCGCCAAAACCTGTTCTACCCACTCTCAGTAGTCCCACACTAACTGCAAAACCATTCCGAATGCTTCTCCCATTGAATACCTTTCACAATATTATATTTACAAAGTATTTTTTATCAACAATTCAGGAATAATATAACAACTTTCCATTTAGTTAACTATAATTATTAATAATAAGGATAGTAAATTTTAAAATATATAAATATAGATATAAATAAATATATAAATATAAATAAACATTAAAAAACCTATTACATTTTTTTTTTAATTCGAAAAAAAAAATGGGCCAAGCAAACACATATTGAGGAGCTCTGATGGATTGTGAAAAGGAAGTCCCTACTGAGTTTAAATATTTTAAAGAATTATTGAAGCTAGTCGACCTTTTTACATTCTTATAAAAAATCTGGTGCGATGCGGGTATCACACATTTTTCACCTACCACCCTCTTCTTAGCAGAAATGAGTATTTTCAGACAAAGGGGAAGTGAAATTAAAAGTTATATACGATATATTTATTTATATTTAATTACCGGTATTTTTATTTGTAGAAGTACCCTTATATAAACAGATTTTAATTTTTATATCACTGAAAGTGTTCAATTAAATATTAAATAATACCAACAATAGCATTTATGAAAATCGCATAAGTATATTTATATAATACTAGTAGGCCCGTGCGAAAAATTCGCACAGCATATTGTTATCAAATGCCAAATTAATAAGAAAATAAAATAATGCAACTTATCAAAAGATTAAGACATCAAATGTTACTTTATCGATAAATATAATCGAAAAAGGAAACAAAAATTAATTTAAATCTTCATTTTTGTTTAGAACCAACATGTATACAAATTTCAGTAAGCTGTATATTTGCTAAAAATTGTCCGATTGCGATGATTTTTTTTTTCCTTTTGTAAACAATTTAGTAATGTTTTATATAATCATGGAATAACCAAGGAAAAGTTGTAATTTTTCAGTTATTCGCAAATAAAGTTTATTTTCTTTCATAACTTGTTTGCCTGAATTTTCTGGGTGATTGGACTATTTTGCCAGTCTGAAGGAGAAGGAAGCCTTCGAAATTGGTGGCTCAATCTTGAGATTTGGTGAAAAATTAACGATGATATGGCTTGCCGATCAAAAACACCATCGATGAATAACATAAACTCCTCCTCTCTCAATCATAGAGGCCTCAAGCCGACGAAATGAGACATGTATTCAATGACAGTACTACAATTGATGTAAGGTTGTGTGGATGCGAACCCTATGCCTTGCGTTATCTCAAAAGTGGTACGTTTTTCGGCTTAAAAACGCAGGATCCGATAGTTCCGGGGGAACTATCTGGGTTTTGCTGTACGCATCAAAATCTTCAAGATCCAATTTGTCCCGTATCGATCTACAGACCCACCACCGTTCCAGTATCGAAGCCTATCAAAATGTTTGTATCGACTTTATTTATTTTAGAAAGAAAAACAAAAGTGGAGAATACGATTCGCTAACCCCCCGTGAAATTCTGAATCCAACGGTACCCCATTCGTGGTATTTGAGCATATCAGGAGCTTATATTTGGTACAAAACCGATTTCGAGCCTTACTGTAATAATATATGTAC